GTTGTCTTGTGTGAAAAATTAAGCCTATAAAAAATAGGCCATGGTGGCCTTTAAATACTATAAGACCGCACTATAGATCCCCTACAGAAGAGCCAGACTTGGTTGGTAAGGCACCACAGTGTCCTGACAGATTCATTACAGGGAGATTTGTTCCACATAGTGAAATATGAGTGAGCTCCACTGCCTGAAAATTGTATTGCTCCATTAGCAGACACCAAAATGAAAGAATAAAGCTCAGGTATTCACATTTTTTACAGGTCTGAGGGGCATTTAACGGCCACCGCAATTAACCAAACAAGGAGATACGACTCTCTGTGTTCATCCTGTTCCTGTCATAATAAACACAACAGTTACATAACAACCAACAAAGACTGAGATACACAAGAATCTGTATCTGACACATCCTGAGGTACGAGACTCATGGCATATGGGCCAAAATTAAATGTACCATTTCAGTTTATACTGCATGTATGTGTTTTTGAATTGAAACACAGCTGCAGAGTAAAGCTCTACAGATTTCTACAGAGTAGTCAAAACATCAACAACATTACCTGAACAGAAACAGAAACGATGCACCACCAATCGAATATCAATATATGTATTGAAATGGTTTCATGGACATTTCATTTCAAACTTCTTTCGACAATACTGCCAAACAGTCTCCTTCTAAGACTATAAAGTATTCTTCTGAGGAGCTGGCTTGTAAATTTACGTTTTATGTATTATGTGTGGCTACTGCAACACTTGTGTGGTTGAAAGACTATTTATTAAGGCCAACTTTTTTATACAATGTACAACATTTCTCTAGTATCTTATATAATCATATTACTGGGAAAAAACACTGTTCTGACCTTCCAGTGGACTCACCACCTGCAGGAAGGTTTAGGTATGGTGCAATGTGATTTGGGTGGCGACTGCTGCCCCCGCGACCCGGTAACGGATAAGCGGATGAAAATGGATGGATGGATGGAACACTGTTCTGATAGAGTAGATATAGATATACAATATGTAAAATGAAACCACTAAAGATTCTTACTCTAACGAGACACCAGTCACCAGTTTTTGGTAAGTGACAATTCTTTGATATTCACCAGAAAGAGCAGCGAGGTTCAAGAGATGTTGGGGCTTCAGGCAAGATAGACAGTGGGTCCACAAAGAAAACTAATCACAGTTTTTAATCTTGGTGGCATTGCAGTCTCTAGTTTTTAACGGACCGCAAATGCCGGTTGGACAAATTTTATCACTTATTATACACTTGATTTTTACATATGCTGCACGCCGATATAATCATCTGAGTCCTGTTCTTTTTCAAACCAAAAGTTCATCTTTAAACAGTAAATAACCTGACCTAAATAGAGTCAAGCAAATCTGGCAGAAAGCCGTCTATATTTAGAAAACAGAGAGTACAGGAAAAAGAACTGTGAAAAGACTCCTTAGTAAAAAGCATGTGTGGGGCACGCTTTGAGCTTGTCAGGTCTGACTGCAGTAATCAAATGCTATTACCCGAGACTGAAAGGGGAAAGTAGGAACTTATAGGAGGTGTCAGTGCATCAGAGACTCCTACACTACAGTCAGGCATATGTGTGTGTGTGTGTGTTTTGAAGTGTAGAGCTGGGGAGTGAGGAGAGACCTCAGTGCTCAGCTTGGGGCGTATAATCTATGGTTCATTTGCAGCTTTTCTCCCCAGTATGACAAGCCGTTTACAAGACATAGCCTCTGCTGCTGACCCAGTTCTGAGTGGCTGCGTCTCGCGACAAGGCCCTGCCTCCCCATCAGGCACTGCTCCTCGTCTAACTGACGATAACACCGCCACCCTCTGCCTCCATGAACTGTGGGAAAAAAATAGGTCGCCCTGACCCACTTTTCTGTTTTTTTTTTCTCTTTCTCTTTTCTCCCTTCCCTCCCTAAGATCCTGCTAAGAGTTCTGCAGAGCATGATCAAGGAGGACATTCAAACAGAAAGGGAAGGAGAGGAAAACAAAGGAAGATGAGGAGTTTGGAAAAATAGTTTCAGACATAATTCTGAATGATGAAATTAGTGAATTCTGGTAAATGGTTCTCAAGCTTTTTCAAATAACAGGTGACCCATATCGCTAGACTGCTGCATGTTTGGCAAAAAATGACTCTCCTACGCACTGTCACAAACACTCTGATTAAGGTTACACATGCATTGGGCTTCATTAGTCCAGTCGTTTTTCCTGATTTCTTCTTCTCTTCTAAGCAGACATGACCTCTGCTCTTACTTAGAAAGCTAAATGTGGCCTTGTGCCTTGTTTAAACATAGACGTCCACATTTCTTTTTCGCAGTCATTCAACACCCAGGAAGATATGGCATGTCACGCAGCAAGAAAATTTACAATCCTTCCTTGGCTAGGGGAGATATTATGGGGCTAGCTGAGCTAGACACTGTTCTAATGCTCGGTAGCATGACACCAGCCCCTTTGACTCTGTATGTCTCAGTGTGGAGAAGGACAACCCATGATATATCTCTGATCACGCACAGTGCTCTCATGCAGACCCGTCCCTCATTATGGCTCTGCTCACTCATGCATTGCTTTTGTAATCCCTACTCACATTAACCGTGGCTCTCCTCGATGGTCACACTGTTCCGACAACAGCTGAGGTTCATTCATTTACAAAACTTATCATTTATTCTCAGTTGCCCAGCGCATACGTATTAGGTCCCTGTTTGAAACCAGTAGGGGAAGGTTGATTAAGGCACATTTTTGATTCTTTGATTTAAATATTAATGTGCCCCCACAATTTATCAATAGCTTTTGCCTCCATGTTCCTTAGCAACTTGTACAACTTCAA